TGGTGTTGAACGCTGAGGTGTAGTCAATGAACAGCATTCTCACGTAGGTATTCCTCTTATCTAGGTGGGTGAGGGCCTTATGGAGTGCAATTGAGATTGCATCGTCTATGGATCTGTTGGGGGCGGTAGTCATTGTGGCAGGTAGCCTTAAAGTTCTTGGTGGTCATTTTGACTTCGGGATTAAAAACTGGGACAAGGAGAGGTTTAGAATTACCGTGAATACGCCTGCCAGCTGTTCTGCGCATGCTCTAACAACACGCCCTGGAATACTGTCCAGCCCCGCTGCTTTACGAGTGTTGACCTGATTAATCATGTCGGCATCGGAGAGTGAGATCACAGAGTCCCATGTGTCAGCAGGGGCCCTCGTGCATGGCTCTGTGTTGTTTTTGGTCGAAGCGTGCATAAAATGCATTGAGTTTGTCTGGTAGATACCCCTCCCCCTCTCAATTTCCCTGTATCCAATGTCCTGTCTGCTTGGTGAATGGAGAATCCATCAAGTTGGATAGCCATGCGGGGTATCTTGTCCGAAATCCATGTTTCAGAAAAGCAAAGAATATTGCAGTTACGAGAGTCTCGTTGATAGCAAATCCGTAGTCTGAGGTTATCCCTTTTATTATCAAGTGACTGGCCAATAAAATGGAATGAAGAGATGGACGGTTTTCCCTTCGCCTTAGTCTCACCAGGGCTCCCCCGCTCCTGCCTCTTTTTCGCCAGCATTTCCTCTTGGGTAGCCCGGAAATTGGGTCGGGATTACACAGAGCCCAGGGCAGATAAGTGGAAGTTGAAGCTGGAATTGAGGTTAGTAACTGTTGATCTGATGTTCAAAAGTTATTGTCGATCGTAAGACATGATAGTGGATATAAAAAAAAGTAAAGAGAAACGCCAGAAGAATCACAAAATAGCAAAGTTGGGTCGGAGCTTTCAAGGTCGCAGCCATACAGTACGGCGCCATTTTCACTAGGGTTGCAAAATTCCGTGAACTTTCAATAAATTCTCTAGTTTTCCCGAAATCTCAGTTGGAGGATTCCCGGAATCAGCAGGAAATCCAGAATCCTCCAACCAGGATTTCGGGAACACTAGGGAATTTATTGAAAGTTCCCGGAATTTCCACACAGGTGAAATGCATGTGAGACAAGGTGAGGTCATAACAGGCATTCGGCCGTACGTTATGGCTGCATCTCAATAGTCTAAAGTGGCCGCCTCTCCTTCATCTACACACAGATCTGAAACTATAGGATAGGTGGTAGAAATAATTATGGTTGATGCTTATGAACAATTGGCTTCCACATCTCATCCTTTTACAGAAGGAGGAAGCTAGTCAAGCTACTTTTTTATTCAGTGGGGGACAAATGTTCGAAGCATTGTAGATTAAAATACATTGCTATTTCACAGTATCAGCATAATATCATTCGGTGATTCATAAAAATAAAATAAATCCTCTTCAAGAGAAAGAACACAGAAGCAGGTCAGGTGATTAGTGCACATTAATTAGTGCACAAAAACTGTTTGTGCACTAATTAACAGAAAATGTTTTGCAACAAAAACAAGAGTTTCTTATTGCACAAGTTCAGGAAGGGCTCTCCCTGTTTCGACCCGTTTGCTTCCATTTGGTTCCTAATGAATACGCCCCAGGTTAACCCAGCAGTTCACATATAATACAGGCCTATAGAGGCCTGTGTAAGTACATCAATGCATTTAATACAGGAAGCGTATTATTAGCCTTCGAAGACATTGACGAACAGTACACTCACTTTGAGCACACTGTACACAGAGGTCATAGAGAGGTTATGCCTTAGAACACACTGTACATTTACATTACATTTTAGTAATTTAGCAGACGCTCTTATCCAGAGCGACTTACAGGAGCAATTAGGGTTAAGTGCCTTGCTCAAGGGCACATTTACGTCATTTAGCAGACGCTCTTATCCAGAGCGACTCACCAATTGGTGCGTTCACCCTATAGCCAGTGGGATAATCACTTTACAAACAGATGTCATAGAGGTTATGCCTTAGAACACACTGTACACAGAGGTCATAGAGATATTTATAAACCATAGTGATACATATCATAGTATTACAGCATAGAAACACCAACACACCCCAGAGACATCTGTTTTGGGGTCGTGAGAGAGGTTTGAAACTAGGAGAAGAACAATGTTTTACAAAGGATATATTTGTGTAGTGAGTTATCAGTAGTTGTGCAATAAATAAAATGACTAATCTGTTTGCATTCTTTAGGAAGGTTAAACAGAAATGAAATTACTCAACTGACAAATAAACCCAACATTAATCAACATCCTTTCAACAGGCAGCACACACAGGAAATGACCTCAGCACTGAACATTGTGATTGTGTCTGTGTACGTGCATGTGGTTTGTGTAACAATTTTACCACAGAACCTGAGGCAAGAGGTGACGTGCTCCATGGAACGAGCAGATGCTGAAGAGAGGACATGGTGCTATCTGGTTGTGGTTGCAAGCCTTCTGCCCCCCCACAGCATAATATCCTTCAGTGATTAATACAACATTTTCCTCCTCTATTCAAGAGAAAGAACACTCAACACATCAGGTAATTAGTGCACACAACAACGGAAAGGTTAGGCCTTAGAACACACTTACATTTTAGTCATTTAGCAGACGCTCTTATCCAGAGCGACTTACAGGAGCAATTAGGGTTAAGTAACTTGCTCAAGGGCACATCGACAGATTTTTCACCTAGTCGGCTCGGGGATTAGAACCAGTGACCTTTCGGTTACTGGCACAACGCTCTTAACCACTAAGCTACCTGCCGCCCCCACAGAGGTCATAGAGAGGTTAGGCCTATAGACCTTAGTGATACATATCATAGTATCACAGCATAGAAACACCAACACACCCCAGAGACATCTGTTTTGGGGTCGTGAGAGAGGTTTGAAACTAGGAGAAGAACAATGTTTTTTTACAAAGGAGACATTTGTGGAGTGAGTTATCAGTAGTTGTGCAATAAATAAAATGACACACACACACACGCGCGCGGGAGGGCAGGGTAGCGAGAGCAGCTCTCTCCTTATTTAACACCAACTGGAGTGACGTCAACAAAACCCCAGAGCTAGAACATGGCCGTTTATTCAGTCATTATTCATCACTCAGAACAAGTATGACTGAAACAAGCATGGTTCCACACAGTCAAGGTGTATAATCAGAACAAGTATGACTGAAACAAGCATGGTTCCACACAGTCAAGGTGTAAAGAGGGGATTCATATGATTAGGCCCCCACGTGACCTGACCAGGAAACACTGAGACCTAATTGGGTTAGACGTGCTTGGAAGAGCTCTGATAACCAAAATGAGTTTGGGAAATATTCCAAGGTACTGTAAGTCTTCATATCTCATCTACTATCTGACGTGACCTAAGTGCCAAATAACAAAATAATCAGAACTGGCTCCTATTAAATTATAATGATCTAAACTCGAATAAGATTATAAACATATTATAATCTCTACTTGGCCACTGACAAGAACAATAAACCTTGACTTTAAATTCTGGCTTGTTGTTGTTTATGTGGTACTTTCAGTTCCAACTCTTTGAGGTGTTTAGTTTCATTGTGTAGCTCCCAACAGATAAACAAGGGATGCATCCCAAATGGAACCCTATTCCCTCTTACTTTTGACCGGGGACATAGTGAGAGAGACAGTGCACTATATAGGGAATATGGTGCTATTTGGGATGCACCCAAGGTAAAATAATGCCCACACCACTACCTAACAGCATCATTATCAATTAACATGTAGCACAGAGTCTCAATTCAAGTTATCGTTTAGAAAACAGAACACACACAGTAACGGTGAAGTACATACATATGACTTATCATGAAATGGAGAGAGGTTATAGCCTTCCTTAACTTCCTTAACAATACTGACATAATAAAAGTATCAATACATTTAAAAAAAAACTGATAATACAAATATTGGAAAGAAGTTGAATACCACTAAGTTATTTGTTTTAGATCTGCATGGGAAGTCATTGGTTTCTCTGGACTGAATGGTTTCTGTCGGCTAGTTCTGTGAGACCTAATAATGTTCCCTATTTAGCGCACTACTTTTGAGCAGAGCACTATGGGCCCTTGTTGAAAGTAGTGCACTATATAGGGAATAGGGTGCCATTTGGGACTCAAGCGCTGTATCTACAGATTCAACTGTGAAGTCTAGAAACAGTGTGACCTCTTTCTGTCGTCATAGTTTATGTTATAACACTGAAATAAACAAACATGTCCAAATGGTGCCTCTCTCTGGGTGCCATTTGGGATGTAACCAGGGATACTAGTCTGGTGTTCTCATTGTCCTAGTCTATAAAGTCTACAATCTCTACAAGGTTGCAGAGTGAAATTCAACCATTCAACATCACTATACCTTTAAATCTCTGTACCAAAGCTCAGAGTGAAATGATATGCATGACAATAGCCAGGTATCCATTCCTTCCTACCACTCAGCGGAATGTTGAATGACAGCGGAATGTTCCACACTGGGTTTGGTTAAAGTTCCAGAACACTTCTAATGTTGTGCTCCAAAGTAGTAGGCAGGATTGTCTTTTTTTCCATATTATTACAAACAACAACAGACTTTATACCACAGCACACCTTTTGTTTGATCCCTGCAGCACTAGACACTTGTAGCTTCACAATTCACATGGCGCGCACAAGACTATTAGTACGGTTATTCACTTGACATTTGTCGGTTTCACTTCACGATTGTGTGTGTGTGTGTGTTATTGATGTTGATATGGCACACAGCCCCACAGAGAACAGCTACACACGACAACACAACAACACAACATCTCAACTACATACAGCAGGATACTGCTAGGACCAGCTCCGTCTTCCCCAGTATGCTTCTCTAAGCACTTTCTTGCCCCACAAAGTACACTTTTTAGTCCCCTTCAAAGTTCACAGAGTACATTTCTTAGTGCCATTTAAAGTGCCCTTGGCAGTCTATAGTTTGTCCTGTGCCAGGGTCTCTTCCTCCTACAGACGTGTCTCAGAACTGGAGAGCACCGCGCCATTTTGTTCTTCTGGTTCTTTAAGGATGCGCTCCACTTCTACGATCTCAGGCCTGATCTCCTCCTTCTCTTTCTCACTGTCCTCCTCCTTCATCTCCTTCACCTCCTCTTTCTCTTTCTCCTCCTTCTCCCCCTTCTCTTCTTCCTCCTCCTCCTCTTCCTCGGCGGCAACGGGCTTGTTGAGCTGCTCCATCTCCGTGGCAACCGTTCCGTTCTCCAGTTCCGCGGTGGGTTCTGAGGGCTTCTTCCTGATGAACAGGAAGTTACACGTGGCGAGGACCACGGCGGCGAGAACCACCTCAGTTCCTGCCAGCAGGAACACGTACATGTAGTTCTTAGTGGCGTCCAGCAGCCGACCTGAGGAGGGATGGAAAGAGGGAAGAGAGAGAGGAGGTAGAGGAGAGATGAAGGAGAAACAGGTAGAGAGAGAACTGGATAAATTATCCATTACATTTATCTAACCTTACCCCAACCCTAACCTTACCCTAACCTTAACCCTAACCCTAACCTAACCCTAACCCAACCTTCACCTGTTAACCCGGTGTGTACTAACCTGCTCCAGGCGGTCCCACCAGCACAGCGATAGCTTCCATGAGCAGCACGAGTCCTAAAGCGCTGGAGAACTTCTCCGTGCCAACGATGGCCATGAGAACCTCAAACTGTAGTGCCCCCACCATCCCGTAGGAGATCCCGAAGAACACACAGAACACCACCAGAGATGGGTAGTCCTTCGCCTGCGGGGTGGAAATGAAAACTTAATATATCAATGATATAGTATTTACAGTAACATTTTACAGTATTTACAGGATACAGTAAAAGTATTGATACTCAGGATACAAATACAGTCAAAACAGGGATGTTAACAACACATGTATAGTTTAGATATGTATCAATAGTCAATACAGCAAACAAACATTTACATACGACAACCAAATCAACCTCAACAAGCCAACACATTACTGTAATTACATATCATAATTCCAGCCTTACCTGAGATCCCACCAGGTCGGTGCATCCATTGAAGATCATGGCGAAGCTGAACAGGTAGACAACTCTGGGCCTGACCCACTTCAGCCCAGCGATAATGCCACAGGTGGGCCGGGCGAAGATATCTATGAAGCCTAGGATGGACAGGAGGAGGGCCGACTTAGTGTCTTCATTCCCCAGCTCCTTGGCATAGCTCACCACGAACACAGGCGGCACAAAGAGACCCAGAACCTAGGGTAGGACAGGATGAACTTTAACAATGCCAATTTTAAATGAAGGCAAACAATTTAATTGCAGTTAAGTGACATGAATATAACATTTAAAAATGGAAGAACTATAGCTTCTACTTTTCAGTTTATTGAGCCCTTTTTTTCAATTATTGAATTGTAATTTCTGTTTACTCAGGGCTCTGGTCTAAAGTAGTGCACTATATAGGGAATAGGGTGCCATTTTGGACGTAACACAGTATTGTTCCTGTTCCTGACTCACCATAATAGATGCAGCTATGGTGTAGATCAGGAAACCCCTGTCCCTAAACACACTGAAGTCCAGGAGCGGTTTGGGTTTGGACTGGGTCTTCTCTACCTCTCTTCCCTCCTTCTCTCCATCTTCCAGTTCCAGCTGGGGGGTTTTAGGAGGGGCCACTAGGGGCCTCATGAGGGCCGCGCAGACGCAGCAGTTGAGCAGTAACCCCCCCAGGATGAGGAAGCCTCCTCTCCAACCGTACTGGTACTGCAACACCTGGAAGAGACAGCAGGATCTTTGGGGATCAATTCCATTAAAATTCCAGTCAATTCAGGAAGTACACTGAAATTACAATTCTCTTCGATGCTTTTCAATAAAGAAAATGTAGAATTGGAATTGGAATTTTGGTTTACTTTCTGAATTTAAATGGAATTGACCACAACCATGAGAGACCATACATAGACAGGATCAGCGCTCCAGTTGATTTGGAGCTAAAGCGCCAAGCAATCACAGATAAAGGAAACCACTCTGAATGTTTACGCTGTATTCTAAGGACAAGCATAGTTGTGAGTCATCATGCCAGTATCAAATGATAGGGTTAGTGTTGAGGTTAGGGTCAAAGGTTAGAGGTGTAATGTAGAGGGAAGAGGCAGCAAAGGGCCATGGGGCTTCCAGCAGAAAGGTTATGGTTAGGGGTCAGGGGTTAGGGTCAGGGGTCAGACGTTAGAGGTGTAGTATAGTACCTGTCCCAGAGGGGAGAGGCAGCAGAGGGCCACAGGGCTCCCAGCAGCAGCCAGCCCGTTAGCCAGGGGCCTCTTCTCACTGAAGTAGCGATTCAACATGATCAGAGATGGCTGGAAGTTCAACGCCAGGCCCAGACCTGGAGGACAAGGGGACAGGAGAGGATTGTCAAATAATTTGGAGACGTAATACAGCATCACATTGATGACGCTGATGTACAGGTTGACGTGTGTGTGTGTGTGTGTGTGTGTGTGTGTGTGTGTGTGTGTGTGTGTGTGTGCGTGCGTGCGTGGACCAACCTGTAATGACTCCAGTAGTGAGGTAGATGTGGATGATGCTGGTGGAGAAGGAAGACAGAATCATCCCCAGAGAGGCAAACAGTCCCCCCACCATCATCACCGGACGACACCCGTAACGATTCACCAACACACTGCACAGAGGACCTGCAGTGAGGAACACAACACACACATTGAATCTGTGTGTCAGTGTGTGTGTGTGAGTGAGACAGTATTTGTGTACCTGTTTGTGTGTGTGTGTGTTGTGTGTGTGTGTGTGTGTGTGTGTGTGTGTACCTGTGTGTGTAGGAGACGGTATTTGTGTACCTGTATGTGTGTGTGTACCTGTGTGTGTGTGTGTGTGTGTGTGTGTGTGTGTGTGTGTGTGTGTGTGTGTGTGTGTGTGTGTATACCTGTGTGTGTAGGAGACAGTATTTGTGTACCTGTATGTGTGTGTGTACCTGTATGTGTGTGTGTGTACCTGTATGTGTGACTGTACATTCCCTACCTGTGCCGTAGAGCATAGCCAGCAGTATAGATGAGATCCATGCTGTGTCGCTGTACCCCACTCCGAACTCTCTGATCAGTTCCTTGAAGAACACACTGACAGCCTTGGGGAAGGCGTAGGAGAACCCAGTGATGATGAAACAGCCGGACAGTATAGCCCAGCCCCACCCCCCGTCTGGTGCCTTCACCCCCCCAGGCCCCTCGTCCACCACCACACCTCCCATGGTCCTCTAAGTTTAGATCTAAGAGGGGAGCGAGAGTACAGAAATACAATGCATAGATAAGGGTTAGGGTTAGATCAGAGAGGAGAGATGGGTTATAGCATAGCTAACTCGGGGGTAGTCCTGACTGGGACTCCAACCTGGATCCAGCGACTGACAACCCAACACCTTAGCCATTATGCCAAGAGATCCAAACCTCTTGACGAGGTCGCTAGGTGTTGGGTTAAAGGTCGCTACAATAGAAATAAAATGCATAGAACATGCATAATCAGCATAGATATAACATTGTATACCGGTAGTAACACAAATTCCTAGCAGTATACTAAGCCTCATACCGGTAGTAACATAACTTCCTAGCTGAATCCTAAGCCTCATAACCATTTTGTCATTGCCTTCATTGTCACTGTGTTGAATAGATGTTGTTGAATAAATTACATATTGATTAAATTAAATATTGATTAACGGAATTGCATAAAGTGGCTTGGCCTTGGTCTGTATTCATTGTGAAACAGCAGGTTGGAATGTTGTCACCAACAATTATTTAAACCAGCCAGAAAAGTTATATATAAATACAATCCATTATTTACTATGAACTCTCCATATCCCGGCCAGCAGGTGACTTTGCAAACCTGGAGGACACTACTGTATTGCAATCATGTTTGCTGTGCATGTGCTTTCATCAATATATTCTGCTTACCCCCATATACACACAGTCTGTAATAATCACACCCACCACCACCATTACAATGAATTAGATTTACGAACACAGCTACAGACCCCGACTGATTACACCGAGTAATGGCTAGCCATGGCTCCATAGAGAGCCATAATGGACTCTGGAGATTTACAGTTTCACTTCAGCGATGGAGAAAGCAATGGGTTTTAGTGCCACCGCCATCAGCACTATGGCAGGCCCCCAGGCCAAGCATTCTCTGAGGGATATTTATGACCAAGACACCATAGATACAGAGAGCTAGCCACACAAACACAAACACACACACACACACACACACACAGGAAGGCAGGAGTTATCTGTGCTGTGCAGCAGTTTCTCAGAAATGATGGATTTAACTTCCCTAAACAAAATGAGGCTATTCTGACATGCTTGAGGCTGACTTTAAATCAAATATTCAATGCCAAATCCTTTAAAACATTAGAAAAAAATTTCTATAAGAGGTTGGTAGGGGGGCTGCTAATATACTAAAGAGCTTTATGTAATAATATAAATAAGCCATTTAGCAAACGCTTTTATCCAAAGCGACTTAGTCACGCGTGCATACATTTTTGTGTATGGGTGGTCCCGGGGATCGAACCCACTACCTTGGCGTTACAAGCGCCGTGCTCTACCAGCTGAGCTACAGAGGTCTTGTCTAGTAGTGGGCCTATAACCTCATTGACACCTGTTGTAGCCCAATTAGAGCTTATAACCTAATTCAGATCCGGCGCCAGAACGAATCAGTTGGAAGGGCCTTTGATTTCCATAGGGGGGGCACGTTTTTTCACGGGACCTCCTGTGTGTTCACGTGCTTGCGCGTTCACCATTTTTTATAAATGGATGTAATAGGAAAGACCATAGGCAGCTCATGAGTTTCAAGTTTGGTTTAGCTTACAATTTATCCTACCATTTTTGCCAATCTGCATGCCAGTTATGATTATTTTTATATGCGCATTTTTGTGGAACCATTTATTTTTAATTTTTTATCCTTTCTCCAAATCATTGTGACGTGGTTAATCATAAAAATCTGAATAAAAAAAGATAACAATCTAAAAGTTAAAATTCAACTATGGCGATTCACTAGCCTCTGCCATATGGACACACTGAAAAATACACTGTGATCCATTGGCTGCGAAAGAAACGAGAGCATAGAACTCAAATGCAGCACTAGGCCTTTAACTTCCATCATCAACTTAGTTAAATAACTAGGCCTAAAGCCAACAAATAAAAAACAGTAGAAAATTCCGGTTCTTTCAATCACATTAATCTCTCTACTCCGTCTCCCTTTCTATCTGTCTTGATTTGCGCTATTGCTAGTGAAGTGCAACACTGTATCAAACCATCACTTGGTCGCGTCCCGAAGCTGTCGAACTTGCAACATTGCATCAACTAGCCTATTCTGGGCAATCAGAGTTTCCCGCGCTTGGTGATGTTGGAAAAAAAATTCTAATACTGAGGAACTATCAATTGCAATGTTTTTATTTTTTTTATTTAACCAGGTAAATTGACTGAGAACATGTTCTCATTTACAGCAACAAACTGGGGAATAGTTACAGGGGAGAGGAGGGGGGATGAATGAGCCAATTGGAAGCTGGGGATGATTAGGTGGCCATGATGGTATGAGGGCCAGATTGGGAATTTATCCAGGACACCAGGGTTAACACCCCTTCTCTTACAATAAGTGCCATGGGATCTTTAGTGACCACAGAGAGCCAGGACACCAGTTTAAAATCCCAAAGACAACACCCTACACAGGGCAATGTCCCCAATCACTGCCCTGGGGCATTGTATTTTAGACCAGAGGAAAGTGTCTCCAGCTGGCCCTCCAACACCACTTCTAGCAGCATCTGGTCTCCCATCTAGGGACTGACCCTGCTTAGCTTCAGAGGCAAGCCAGCAGCGGGGTGCAGGGTGGTATGCTGCTGGATGTTAAAAAACAGACCTCATTGACTTGTGTGATACGAAGAAAAAAAGAGTGGCGTAGGCCCACGTGGAAATCAGACATTGCCAAATGGGCACTTTCCTACATCTGCCTGCATTCTGGAGAGAGATGCACCATATCTTCGCAACACCCCCCTCCCCTTCTTCTTGATGCAATAGTTTAAATTATACTCAAAACACATTATCATAACACATATTTTAGACGCTTTTCACTGACAGCCGCAACTCAATCAGCTAGACCTATTGCCACGCGCACTACCCAAATCGCGGGCTTCAAACACATTTGTGATTTCAAACAATCCACAGCAAAACAAAATGCTCCCTGGTGATGTATTTTGAATGATTTTTTTTAGACAGGAGTAATTATATAATTTCGGTGAAACATCAATTTACTTTAGGGCAACCCAGCATCCTAACAGTGCACTGGGCACCCGCTAACTTTCCTTTCCAATTCGCAAGAGGCTGAAACCAGAGATCTGTAGCCTATAATGACGAGATGCTCATGTCTCCGCCCTAACAATGGAAGTCTTTGTCCCAAAGGCGGGAAGGCAGGCGACAAGGTTTGCATATTATTCTCATAGCAACGCATTGGGCTTATACTGGACAGATTTTGGCGAGAGTGAGCCCTCTCGCTTCGCCTCTTCCTCTCTGCTAAAACTATATCACCGGAGAAAGCAATTGAGCGAGCGAAACAGCGCCCCTCTATATGTAGCCCATGTATTACATTTACATTTACATTTTAGTCATTTAGCAGACGCTCTTATCCAGAGCGACTTACAGGAGCAATTAGGGTTAAGTGCCTTGCTCAAGGGCACATTTACGTCATTTAGCAGACGCTCTTATCCAGAGCGACTACAAATTGGTGCATTCACCCTATAGCCAGTGGGATAACCACTTTACAATTATACTTTTTTTTTTTTTTTGGGGGGGGGGGGGGGGGTTAGAAGGATTACTTTATCCTATCCCAGGTGTTCCTTAAAGAGGTGGGGTTTCAAATGTCTCCGGAAGGTGGTGAGTGACTCCGCTGTCCTGGCGTCGTGAGGGAGCTTGTTCCACCATTGGGGTGCCAGAGCAGCGAACAGCTTTGACTGGGCTGAGAGGGAACTATGCTTCCGCAGAGGAAGGGGAGCCAGCAGGCCAGAGGTGGATGAACGCAATGCCCTCGCCTGGGTGTAGGGACTGATCAGAGCCTGAAGGTACGGAGGTGCCGTTCCCCTCACTGCTCCATAGGCAAGCACCATGGTCTTGTAACGGATGCGAGCTTCAACTGGAAGCCAGTGGAGTGTGCGGAGGAGGGGGGGTGACGTGAGAGAACTTGGGAAGGTTGAACACCAGACGGGCTGCGGCATTCTGGATGAGTTGTAGGGGTTTAATGGCACAGGCAGGGAGCCCAGCCAACAGCGAGTTGCAGTAATCCAGACGGGAGATGACAAGTGCCTGGATTAGGACCTGTGCCGCTTCCTGTGTAAGGCAGGGCCGTACTCTCCGAATGTTGTAGAGCATGAACCTGCAGGATCGGGTCACCGCCTTGATGTTGGCGGAGAACGACAGGGTGTTGTCCAGGGTCACGCCAAGGCTCTTCGCACTCTGGGAGGAGGACACAACGGAGTTGTCAACCGTGATGGCGAGATCATGGAACGGGCAGTCCTTCCCCGGGAGGAAGAGCAGCTCCGTCTTGCCAGGGTTCAGCTTGAGGTGGTGATCCGTCATCCATACTGATATGTCGGCCAGACATGCAGAGATGCGATTCGCCACCTGGTTATCAGAAGGGGGATAATGTATCTGATGCTGTCTGGCCAGAAATAGTATGACATGCCATACTCTTTTGGTCCACACATACACATACAGAGACAGAGGGGTGCTGTTTCGCTCGCTCGAAGGCTTTAACTGAGACTGATGCATCTTCCTGGTGGCGCGTGTCTCGGTCAAATAGGCCTAAATGATGAATATTTCAATATTTTATTTGGACGGGCAAGGAGGTAGTCCGGCCCTGAGCCAAACCACTATGGACAAAGAACGATTTGCATAGCTGGGGTCCCTCTCCTCTTCCATGCATCCTTGGAATGTCTTCACATGGACAAGTGTAAAGCCCAAACTCCAAGTTCGATTCATTTCCCGGGGCGCAGCTTTAAAGGGACTGATTGAACTTGACACAGTTCTGTTTCCATCTCAAAGAAAGACTGATACTGAGAACGCAAACAACGACATTTCCAGTGGCGGCTGGCCGATAGAGGGCGCTAGGGCGCCGCCCCCTTAAATAAAATTATTTAAAAAAATAAAATAAAAAATAAATAAAAATAATAATAATAATAATAAAAACATCAGTATGTCAATATTTGTGTGTTTG